TTGCATACAGTTTAAAAAATATTTTAGAGGTCTCACTGGTTGTGGGTTAGGACAGTAAAAATTGTTGTGTGATGTAGCAAGTCACCAGAGCCAGCTGTTTCATAGCAGCAACTGTTTTACAGAGTTATCTACAGCCCTGGGTCACCTGTGAAATGAGAGCTCTTGTTAAATGCAGTGAGAATTTAGAAGAGCAAGCAGGTCACGGTCAGTAAAAGCATAAGAACAAAAGGACAGCTGCTCCTCTTCCTACTAAAAAGCCACAGGAGTTTGAGAGCAGGACTGGGCTTCAGCTGGCTTTAAAAAGGCATGAGTAAAATTCATGACAGGGGAATGCCAGGGAGGCAAAGAGCAGGTCAGCAGTTGTCTAGAAATAGCCATTGGAGTTCAGCTTGGAGTAACACTGGACCCAAAGGCTGGGGTGTCAAGTTGACATTGCTAAGCTTAGATCCATACAAAACTTCCATCCTTAGAGAAAAGAGTCTGAAATTTCTACCGAAGGGAACAGAAACAGAAAGCTGACACAGACACACGTCACCACATCTGAAAGAGGGTGTCACAGTAACTGGACACACTGGCACCTCGTGTCAGGACCAGCTGGATCTCATCACAGCCACGTTTCTGCCATCAGCAACTCCACACCTGCTTCGGTGTCAAATCTGCCAGTTCAAACTGCTCCCAGCAGTGATTCCAACCGGCCTGACTGGGCTCTGATGCACATGAGCAGCTCTGTGCTGCTCCCCAGCACATCACCTCCTCACTGCTGGAGATTTCCAAAGACACAAAACAGTATCTTCCACCAACACAGCACTTGTGGAGACAAACAGCTCTGTTTCAGTGACAATGTCAGTCAGGTAATTAAGGTACCTCTGAGTGCACTGTCAGCCGGCTCAGAGGAGCCAGGCACTGTCAGACAACAGCACTCCATGGATTTAGAGTATTTTCCCTTAGAGACATCTCTGAAACACTTGCATGTATGGCTAGATTAGGATTTCATCAAAAAGACTGCAGCCAGAAAATAAATTAAACTGCACTTACAACAACAACAAAAAAGGCTTGCATTACAGACTGGGCTGTCTTGTGGGCTGTTTATCAAAGTAATAAGGTCAGAGTAAGTAGGTTGAAATTAAAACTAGTTTCAGCCTGAAAGCACACGCCAGCGTACACTGATGGAAAAGAAGCAATTAGATTCTGAACTTTTACCCAGAATAAATTCTCAAGTACAAAAGTCACAATCAAGATACAGAATGGACATCAAAACATATTTCACATGTGCTCACTGGGATGTACAAATCTCGGTCCACACTTCCTGAGTAGTTTGATGGAATGAAAGAGTTAGGCTGCACCCTGGTTTTGGTTTTGTTTGTTTGGGGGTTTTGTTTGTTTGTTGTTCTTGTTGGTTTTGTTTTTTTTTTTTTTTGCTGTCTGATTTATAAACCAGCCCAAAGGTTTTTCCTGTTGAGAAACCCAGGTCATTATTTTTCCCACTGGATGACAAATGACAGCAAAATGAGTCACTTTATTACTGATAAGGACTACGCTCAAAGGAATGAGAAGCAGTGTTAAAAGTGTCTCTTGTTACATAAATCACTCAGCCTAAAACCAACTGAAAATAGTCTCATTAAAAGTGAATGAAAAAGCTCTTCAGTCAGAAAGCTCCAAACACAAGTTTCTTTCTCCATCCTTAAGACTGTCCTGTAGAATTTGCCTATGAGATCTGAGATTTCTCAAGCATAGACTTAAAAAAAGTATAAAGTGAAAACAGCTGAAAAATACCTCTCAAGGTACCCTCTTGCTTAGAAACTGCCAGGTCATTCTCAAACTCTTTCCATTTACTTTAGCAATTCCTCCAGCCCTCAAATGATTGATTTTAAGTGAGAAAATTTAACAGACTCCCAGAAATGTTGGGAGGGGGAAGAATTACACTAGTCTGTCTTTTATGGTCTGACCCTGGTCTCCAACATATGCAACAGAGTAAGAAGCAGTGAAATTTCCTAGCACTGCTTTACTGGAAGTCCCCCACTGAATGCCAGAGCTGAACAAGGGTCAATTATCAGGCTGTATAACATAAAAGCCCATTAAAAAGGAATATTAAATGAGAAGCAGGTCTTCATTCACACCTCCAAGAGGCTGGTTCTGAAGCAGTGATTATTTTTCCAGAAATTTTCCAGCATAGTCTTTACATCTGTGGTGCCTCAATAATGAAATGATGGTCCATAAAGAGCCTGACTTTTTCCCAGCTTTACATAAAAAAAAAACCCACCTCCACACAAAATTGAGAACAAACAGAAACAGCATTTGGTGGTTCAAGGATGAGCCTCTCTGTGACTTGATTCAGACAGAAAACTGCTGTGAAATGACTGAGGCAGCTGTGCATTTTCTTCAAAGAGGTTGTGTACTCTTCTGGAAAAGGCCAAGCCCATTGCTGCTGCATCTCCAGCACCCCTGAAATGCCATTTCCTCATGTTGTGGAAATTTTCCCATAGATACACATTTTATACACACACCAAAACTTGCTGTAAGCCGGCAGGGGACTCTTTTCCACACACAACCAGCCATCATATCTTTAATGACCTGTTACATGTCCCTCCAAGAAAAGACAGAGTATTGCTTAACGACACATGAGCACAGGAGGCATTAAAAACCCTTTAAGATAGACTTAAGTTGGTATGAAATGAGATTTCCCTCAAGAGAACTGCTAAAATCCTCTAAAGAACATCTTCAAAGACACATGTTTTATGGGCACTGTTGAGCTCTTGTGGAAAAAGCCAACAGGTTTAGCCAGATTTTTCCACATCATCTTCTGGCATTTTACAGTTTTCAGAATTAAGCCAAGAACAGAGAAGCCAAGAAGTTTTTGTTTGAAAGCAAGAAAACAGGGATTTTTTTTTTTCAGTTTTCAATTCCTTTTTACTAGGATGCCAGGAAAATGAAGTCTTCCTAAACACAGGCCTAAGATTTAGCAACAGTCCTTTGTGTTATTATCCAGAACTTGATTCCACTTCTTGTCTCAACTGTAACTTAAACAGGGATCCTGGAAAATATTATGACATCAAATAAAACATTACTGATAAGAACTTTTTAAACACTATCAAAAAAAGCTGTTTCTCCAGTGTCAGAGAGAATAAACTCAGAAAGAGGAAATTTCCCTGGCTCTGTGTAAACTATGCAGTGATTTTAAAAAGCTACACTGTCACATGTTTCAGTGTTAGTAGTGATGTACATAACATGAGAAGCTAATTCTGAGCTGAATGGGTTCAAGTTAAATATTGTTATTCATGTATTTAAAATATTTATTTCTTTTATTAATATTTACCCACCCCCATGAGCTGGAAGACAGGAATGGAGAAGCAGAAAGAAGCCCCCATAATTCGAGGGGAAATCCAAGGTTAGCAAGCTGCTACACCACTTAGACACACACAAGACTACGTGTGGATGGGATTCACCCAACAGTACTGAGGGGGCTGGTGGAAGTGCTCCCCAAGCCACTTTCCATCATTTACCAGCATTCCTGGCTCCCCAGAGACGTCCCAGCTGACTGGAGGTTGGCAAATATGACACCCATCTACAAGAAGGGCTGGGAGGATCCACGAAACTACAGGCCTGTCAGTCTGACCTCAGTGCCAGGGAAGATCAGGGAGCAGATCATCTTGAGTGCCATCACACGACACATACAGGACAACCTGGTGATCAGAACCAGCCACTGTGAGTTTGTGAAAGGCAGGTCCTGCTTGACCTCCTTCTATGACAAGATGACCCTTGTCTGTGGATGAAGAAAAGGCTCTGGATGTTGTCTCCTAGACTTTAGTCAAGCCCTTGACACCATTTCCCACAGCATTCTGCCAGAGAAACTGGCTGGGTAAAAAGAGGTTGGATGGACAAGGTCAAAGAGTGGTGGTGAACGGTGCTACATCCAGTTGGCAGCCTGTCACCAGTGGTGTCCCTGAGGGCTCACCATCGGGGCCTGTCCTGTTTAACACCTTCACTGATGATCTGGACAAGGGGATCGAGTGCACCCTCAGTCAGTTTGCAGATGACACCAAGTTGGGTGGGAGCATTGATCTCCTGGAGAGTAGGAAGACTCTACAGAAGGATCTGGACAGGCTGGAGAGATGGGTTGAGGCCAGTGGTATGAGGTTCAACAAGGCCAAGTGTCAGGTCCTTCACTTGGGTCACAACAACCCCAGGCAGTGCTACAGGCTGGAAAAGAGTGCCTGGGAAGCTGCCCAGTGGGGAAGGACCTGGGAGTGCTGGTTGACAGTAACTGAACATGAGCCAGGTGTGCCCAGGTGGGCAAGACAGCCAATGACATCCATTGGCTTGTATCAGGAACAGTGTGGCCAGCAGGACCAGGGAAGTGATTCTGCCCCTGTACTCGGCACTGGTGAGGCACCTCAAGTCCTGTGTGCACTTCTGGGCCCCTCATGAGCAGAAAGACATTGGGGTGCTGGAGCAGGTCCAGAGAAGGTTAGTGGAGCTGGAAAAGGTCTGGAGCACAAGTTTGATGCAGAGCAGCTGAGGGAGCTGGGGGTGTTTAGCCTGCAGAAAAGGCTCAGGAGAGACCTCATCACTCTCTACAAGGAGGTTGTAGCCAGGTGGGGGTCAAGCTCTTCTCCCAGGTAACAAGTGATAGGGCAAGAAGAAATGACCTCAAGTTGCACAGTGGAGGTTTTGATTGGATATTATGAAGAATTTCTTCATGGAAAGCATTGTCAAACATTGGAACAGGCTGCCCAGGTAGTCTGCAGGAGTCACCATCCCTGAAGGTATTTAAAAGACATGCAGATGTGGCACTTATGGATACAGTTTAGTGGTGGCCTTGGGAGGGTTGGGTTAATGGTTGAATTTGATGATCTTAAAGGTCTGTTCCAACCTAAACTCTACGAGTCTATGAAATCTCTTAATTCACAAGTGGGAAGCTTAGGAGGTAAATAAGGGAAAGGGTACTACAGGAAGACAGGTTTTTACGTTGCCTTTTAGGGTAAAGAAATTGCACCACTCACCTCCACTAAGTAACTTCATCACCAGCCAAAGCTCATCTTTCACCACGAACGATGTGTAGTAAGATACAATGTTGGGGTGATGGCACTGACTCATGGCTTGAATTTCTTTCTGTAGAGAAAAATAAAGCATTAGCAGTTGGACCCAGTGATTATTACCCCTCGGGCACAGAAGTTATCTTCATCTTCCTCAAGACACAAAGAGGGTGCAAAGGAAAAGGATAACTCGAAGCTAAAGAAAGGAAATCCAGAAATACTCTAAACACTCAGACTGCATCAAAGGTATTTTAGGGTGCTCTGCCTGCCTGTCCAGAAGGAAGAAAAAACTGACCAAGAAGTCTTTGTCAAGGACAATGAAGTGGTGGCAACCAAAACACTTGCATGCAGCCACAAGAGAATATTCCCAAGAATTCACACATCTCTGACCTAAGAAGTTCCTGTTGACTTCTCCTTTCATTAAGACATTACACAGCAGATGCTTAATCTGTTGAAGACTATCATTTGGATGAGAAAGGGAAATATCTACCTCTGGGAAAAAAAGGCCTCTTATTCCTAACGTTTCTTCCCAGCAGGAAAGCAGATGGCTTAGCTCAATCAGGTTGAAGGCACAAAGGACAGCTGTATCCTTTGTCACACTGGAAGAAGAGGGAAATCACTTTGAGATTAGAAAGTCATTAGCTACTACAGATGGAGGACAATATGAAATATGTTCAGATATTAAACTGTTTTGAGTTTTGACCGTGCTTAGTCTTAGATTTGGTTACGGGTTAAGGGTCAAGGTGTTCCAGGTTTTGGGCAGGAACACCACCACAGAAAGCACTGACTGATTTCATTATGCAAGCACAAATCACCAGTCTGGACAGAAAGCCTCACAGTTTCTTGGCTGTCCATAGACAAAAGCCATCCCTTAAGCCAAGCCTGGCACCCTGCACTGCACCCAGCTGAGCCATTGTGCTTTAGCCAAGTTGTACCTTCAGCCAAGTTCCCCAACCTGTCAAGTTGTTCCCTCCAGCATCACCCACAGCAGACCCTCATACCCCAAACTTCAGCTCTCAACTAAGACATTCCTTCACTGAACATGTGGATGCCACTCACTTTTCAAAGGTTTAATCCCTGCTCACTGTCAGCCTCTTCCCCATGACACAGACTTAGCTGACCCCATAATCCCAAACTCATGGGGAAGGAGGAGAGCAAGGGTCCTTCACACCCTGATCCTTTCCCCCCTCTAAGCACAAGACCTCCCTGGTTTGAAGTACAAGAGAGAGCTCTGAGGAGAATTTACTCGTGTCCAGGACACCCCACAAACGCAGCACATTCTCCTGCTCATGTGCAAAGCTCTGCCTGTGACCGAGCACAGCGCAGAGGCAAACTGCTTCCCCTTGGCAAGGCTTTACTGGCAATCACAGCTCCAAAGGAACAGGCTCATGTTGATTTATCCACTTAATACTGCTTTTCAGGGAATAGGTGCATTTGAGGAATCCAAAGCAATCGGTTCCTCTTTCTGCTTCCCCCAGAAGAGGCACCAACTTTCCAGGAAACTTCAACAAGCAGATTAAAGAAGAATCCTTCTAAACAGGAAAGGATATTTCAGGAGTGGGGAATAGGCTATTCATCTCCATGTAGACACTCTTTGCCTAAAAACCACTCTGTGAAAATAAATACAGCCTAAAACAATATCCTCTGCTTACTCTGACAGCTCCAGCTCCCTTCCTTGCAAACATTCACTTGTATCAAGCCATTTTTCAAAAAGGAAATAAATCAGCAGCTTTGGGGTTTTCTATGGCTTTCTGTAGTTCTCTCTCTGACAACTAAAAAATACCACATGTGCACAAGTGGCACCAGAGGAAACTGAGGCAGAAAGCAGCAGGCAGGACTGGTGATCCATCCTATCAGCCAGTCCTGCCCCAAACCCACCACTCAGAAATGATCTACAGGATCTGTTTTTATCTTTTTTTTAGCTAGACCATTCAAATATTTTGAAGCAGCTCCCTGGGAGATCAAAAGAGTAATACAAGAAATATACACAAACATTGCATATTTTATATATATTAGTGTATTCCACTGCAATTCAGGAGGCAATGACACAAAGTCTGGACCAAGTTTATTTCAGAGCCTAGACCTGAATCAGATCTTTGCCATTTGCACAACCCTGTAAAATGGCCTTTTTCAGGCATTCTGCAACACTTAGTTACTATTTTATTATTTTTCAAGAACTTCCTCTCTCATTCACTACCACAATCTGCTCCCCAGGCTGGGAAGCACAGTTAACAAAATAAATAAATTAAAGAAAAATAGCTCAAGCCTGTCATATGCTTTGGTGCACAAAGAAGGAAAATAAATAATCACAAGCCTGATCTATGCAATTAAACACCTCTGTCAGCCAGAGGATGTGTAACAGAGGCAGATTAATCCATTTCTCACACAGTGTAGCACAGCTCTGAATAATTAACTGCATCACAGCCCATGATTTTCAATGTTTTTACATTAATACCAATCAGAAGGAGCAGCAGCCAGGCAGATTTTTCCTCCCACCCACAGATCCCCACCTCATTTTCAGCAGTTTTCTAGGCTAATCTCACACCTACATCAAAGCTTGGTTCCTCCTCACCCTAAAGACGGCACCAACATCCTGAAGGCTCAGCACATACAATCGTTTTAAGTGATGGTGGCAAATCACAGCAGGATTTGTGTTAAAATGCTTCCTGGCATAACTGAAACCCAGCCAGCTGTGCCATGCATGCACAGTCTGTGCTCCAGCAGCACAAATGCAAGGGCTGAAGGGCTGCTCCTAAAGCAGGAATCCCAGTCAAGGATCACTGGGAAAGCTCTGCTCAAATGCATACTTACAGAACGAGGGAGCAGTTGGGGATAAAATGCAGCAACAGCCCTTCTGTGGGTAGTAAGCACAGCTTTAATACTATTTCTAAAGCTTTTTTGAGAGCTTGCTGCTCTTTAAACACAACAAAGCCAAAGCAGGCAGAGGTTTCCTCTCCCCACGCTCTTAACAGGACTGCTATCCCCAGATAACTGAGCTACAACTCTGCTTCCCTTAATTTCCCCAGCATCAAAACTCTATTGGAAGACTCCTAATAAAAATCTCAGCGGTTTCCACACCTCCGTAATTATGTCAGTGCTAAACACCAGCATTTATCTGGGCTGCTCTACACAAGTTTTAAGCTGGAAATGTTGCTTTATTCCCTCTGTGTCAACAGTCATGGGTCACTTGACACAGACCCCCCCAAGCCATGAGCAGATCCGGTGGGTGACGGGCAGCTCTTCCACCCAACACCCCTCACACTCCATGGCTCCAGTGATGAGAGACAGCCTTCCTGCCAATTCCCATAAAGTGCTCTGCTTTCTGCTCAGCTGTGGAGAATGAATTACTGACAACAACATGTCTAGACACAGGCAATGGTTTGGAAATGGTTACATGCTTACCCTGGGCAAGATATTAAAAATATCTGCATTGTCAAACACCAAAAGCAAATAGACTGGGATTAGCTCTAAATGCCTCCATGGCTTCCACTAAGGGTTCTGACAAATGTTTTCAGTACTGCTACGGGCAATAAAAGAAACATTTCAAGGCTTGCAAAACAGTAATAAAACTGCTGTGAAGTATAATTTAGAATCATAAGAAACCTATTAGTCTCCTGTAAGTCAGACATACTTCTGGAGATCTGCTGTTTTGGAAGGGGGTTTATTTGCCCACTGCCTTATAACTGAAGTTTAAGTTAATAGGAGCGGGTAAGGCTGTTTTAGCTACAGCTCAACTTTCTTAATGGTGTTTTCTGTTCACATCATCACCTTCTAGTCTTTGTGTTTATCTGCCCCTGAGGTTTGCTTCAAAGGCACTTGGCTCTCAAACACAAGGATAAAAATCATGCTTTATTTAGTTTTACTTCCTACATGTTGACATGAACTCAAGAGATAGAGCACAGCAGCAGAATGCTTTCATGTGGCTACCTGCAACTTCAGAGGAATCCAGAAAGCTGCCAGCTTGACTGCCCTGTTTGAAGGCAATCACGACCATAAGAGAATTGGGGAAGGAAAAGTACAGCTTGGGGAGAAATCAAAGGAGGTCAGATGTGATCACCCCTTGAAAACACCAGTGCTTCAACTATGGCTGGCAAAGATCATAAACCATGAGATTTCAGCTGAGAGATAAGGCATTAAAGCTGCTCTTCATCCTTTTAAAGCAGGATTTATAGCCCCAGTCCTACAGGCAGCCATAACTGTTCACATTTTGCTCCAACTGAAATTCAAATGGTTTAGCTAAAAGGTTGGGAAATTGAGAATATTAATTCATTCCTCTTTCAAAACATAAGCATAACAACAAAGAAAAAAACCCCAAACATGTTCTTCCATCACAATCAATTTCAGAGATGTTTTTATAAGGAGGTGCAAAAAAAGCAAAAAGCTTAAAATCAGAGATTCTGATTCAACTTCCACTCCTTGGATTATTCAACTCCTTACCTCAAGATGTGGCTACAAGAGCTAGAGTGGCATGAGTAAAGAGGGGTTAGATAAGCCCTAGAGCGACGTTGGAAAAGAAACAATTCTGAAAGGGATAAAGAGACTTCATCATTAATTAATCTTAGGTGATGGGAACAAAACACCCCCATGGCAAGTCATTCAGCAGTTGCCCATTTCGATGGCTACTCTTACTCTTCAGCATTATTCAGTGGATCATTAATTCATGCAGTATTAGTGACAACTTACTGAAGGAAGAAAACATTTAAGACTGTTGTGGTGTAGCAGCTCATCCACAGCCATTTTTATTGGTTTCAGCCACCAAGCAAATGAGCAAGTGACTGACAGCTTTACCCTCATCACCAAGTAACCTATCACTGACCCTCAGTTGTTCAGATCTATACTAGGTGCTTACAGCTCAACAAAGCTTTAAATGTGTGATTAGTCCCCACAGACAACTGTGAACTCACTGAAGTTCTTTACATGCACCATCTCATGCTCATCCAGTACAAGTGAAGGAAGACATTCTACATTCAGGATTTCATGCACCATTAATCCTGATGTTCCTATGAACTTTACTAAAATAAAACAAAACAAAAAAACCAACAATAATAACAACAACAAAAAAAAAACTTCAGCCAGCCCAGCAATTACTATTTCTGTTGTTGCTGCTTTGAAAAACAATCCAACCAAGCTGTACCCAGCGTAGGTTTAAGTCTTGTGTAAAGTTGCAATCCCATCATGCAAGAAACACACAACATGGCATATCAAATGACCATGCAGAAGCCACATATTATACATCAGATTCCCTGGCATTGACACTTGGGGACTTTTTCCCCTGGGGCAAGTGTAAAGGTCCTCAGACCTGAAAATGGAATTATAATGGCAATTCCCATCAGATGATAGACATGGATGAAAGGTCTGTACTACTACTACACTAGCCTGCTGCTTTGTTCCCAACAACCTTACAGTCTGGTTAATCCACTTGTAGGAACTGCTCTGTCAGATCAAAGGCAGCTCAATATCCTGTCCAAGTCTTCAAAAGAAGGTGTAAAAACCCTATAAAAAGCAGTTACACAGTTATCTGCCCAGAGGGGAGACTTCTGACTAAGCCTGGGCAGTTAACAGTTGGCTTATGCTCTAAACCAGGGGAGTTCATAATCCTTTTTTTAAATCCTATCTAATTTAACCTTCTCAACTATAGGTTGATTTATTTAATCTCACGCAATGTTTGATCTCCGTATTTTTGGCAGAAGTTCCCCAGGTTAATTCCATGAAATTCTAAAGGACATTTCTGATTTACTGCAGTTCAACTTGTTCCCTCTGCCTCCCCAACAGCCCTCTGACCACAGCAGTGGGAGAGCAGTACTTTCCCTTCACTCTTCTTGTGTGTAGACCTGTCAGGTCCAGTCCTATTAGAATTTGGAATCTCTTCCTAGGAGCAGAAACACCACATCTCCCATGCTCTTTCCTTAACCTGTCTCCTGCTGAGTCACCCTAGCCCAGTGTAAAATATCCCATATCTTATGTTGCCCTCTCTGCTGTTCAGTATTCCTGGTAACTGCTAAGGTGACAATCCACATCATCTGCTACTCATGGAGGAAAAAAAAAACAAACATCTGGATGAAAGAAAACTCAGTTTTAATTGCATGAAAATGAAGTGGAGTTTGTGGGCAGAGGGGAGGTTTAAGGCCTTTTAGATTAGTAATTCTTTAAAACAAGAAAACACAGTCATACAAGAAAAAAGCTGGAGGCAGGGTTATTTTGAGGCAGATGTTACACCACTGTGTTTCAAGGACTGGCAACAGCAGCAAAGCAACCAGCATCCCACAATGGAAAAGAGTAAGAGCCAAACACAGCACTCAACAGTGTGCAGCTGTGAAGGACAACACATGGGCAGACTGCTTTCAAACACACACCAAATGCTACATGCTTGTTAACTACCCTGGGCTGTAAGACAAATAAGAAGCGGAACTTCAGTTATAAATCAAGAAGTCCAAGATGAATTGTAGGCCACACTGTATTTGACCACCTCTCCTTACACTCCACTCCCAGTCACACCCTTGAGTAACAATCATTACAAGCTATACTGTACTTTGCTGTCAGCTGAATCCACATGCAGGAAGGATCTGGGAGCATTCAAAAACGTACAGGGGAAAAGACAGAAATCAAGCACTGAAATAAATTTCTGATTAACATCACCTAATTCGGTAGCTGGGCTAGAAAAAAGCACATCTCTGCATGGCACTACTCCTGCTGCCTACATTCTTTATAGCAATTAGCACTTCAGCTGAAGAGCTGAATGCCCTTGACTTGGCTCGCTCTTAATTCAAAAAATTGGTCCTTCCTGCATTTTCCATACCCTGTAGCAACAATAAATTAATCCACTGCATTAACCTAGAATGTCATATGGGGTATGCAAAGCCTGCAGGTTATCCCTGACCACCCACACGGTTCAAGTGTATGTTGAAATACAAGGATAAAGATCAATACCTTTAACAAGCCAAGTCATACCACTTAAATCACTCTAAGCATGGTATCTCCACAAGCCAGAAGGTGGTCCTGGATTTCCTGGCCTCTGGGAACATGCCAGGCTCAAGGAAGCTCAAGGCCACTCATCCATTCAGCTGGTGATAGAGCCACTTACTCTGCATTTCCTAACCCCACTCCAAATTAACCTTCCTCTTCTCCTCCATCCCAAGCAGTGGAAGTGCCAACCACTAAGCAGCATGGACATTGAAAGAGATGGAGAAGAACCAAACCATCCTTATCAGGATGGCAGAAATGTTTGCTGCTCTCCCTACCCTCTCCCAAGCAACTGTTTTATCCTTTAGCTGGGAATAAAGAGAAGGCTATGGGTCTGAGGCACTGTAGAAAAATAATTATAAAATCATTTAAGCACAATCTTCCCTTTGCCACCACACTGCCCGACGAGTGGGCACTGCTCTAACACCAGAGCACTGTCCTGACCCCAGGCAGTCCAGCAAAGTTCACAGTGAACTGACTATTGTGCTCAGAAGCCTTCAGAGCAAGGAGAGCTAATGAAAGGCCAGCTCGTGTTTTTAACTGCACAGAGGGAGAGAAGAAAGCAAGGAGGGGGTATAACACACCCCAGTATGAACTCATCATCTTTCTATTTGCATTTGCTTCTTTAAACAACTGTAATCTGCAAGGATTTATAGTTACCTTCCTTGGGGGAAAAAACCAAAAACCACACAATCCTTCAGTAAGAAGTAGTTGCTCAAAAAAGTTAATTAAACTAATTGGGGAACTGCCACAAAGGGAGACTGCAAGACTGTAAAACTTGAGAATATTTACTTTAGGGAAGAAGCAAATATGGAAACAAGATAAAAAGAAGTGAAGGTAAGAGCACAGAGCAGAGAAATCAGGAACTTCCATCCTTTCGACTTGCACTGGGAATCAACATCCCATAAACTTGACAAGTTCAAAATAAACCCAGGGAAAACACTTTTTACACAACATGTCTACCTCAGCAGCTAGTGCCCCAGGAAGCTGCTACAGCTCAGAACCATCCTCTCCCCTCCCCCATGACTTTAGGTTCAAGAATAATTGCATACCCAAGCCTAGAGAAGGACTCACTCTAGACCTGGTCACAAAACTGGAAGCTCCAGAGACCTGACAACTGCAAGACACTGCAATCCTACCCATAACAGGAAAAATCCTTGTGAGGACCAGGTCAGTCAGGGATTTAAAATATGCAATTAGAAGTACTTATATAAAATTACATGCCAAGTGTGCACAGCATCTCTTTCTGAACCCAACCCTTTTAGTCAGAATTGGCAATTACTCAAAGACTGACAATCTCAATTACTACATCGTGACAATGCAGTCAGGAATACAGCTGAGAGCAGTGTGGACAAGCCACATAAAAGGCTTGAAAAGGGTACCAAGGGTTGGTATCAGGACAAAAAGACCAACTGTGAAAAGGGAAGAGATCTTGAACTCCAGCATGAGCCATAAGAGGATTTGCACACAGGCCACCTTAAGAGTCCTACACGCAACCCTTCACAAAAGCATGAAAATGTGACAGCTTGGATGGAGCCTTTCCTCCTTACAAGGGCAGATTTGCAGATCCCTATAATGATAAAAATATCATCAGTCACTAAACAGAAACCGGAACCATGGTTCAGGTGATTTGCTGAAGATCATACAGATGTAAAGTTCACCAGGATTCCCAAATTCTGCCCCTGTTTTACTTTCTGCAACCACAAAAACAAGTGCCTGAGGTAACACTATAGAAGTTGTTTGTAAGTGGACAGACAGGCGGTATTATAAAAATCCTAGACAGTTGCTTTAGAGAAAAGATGGTAGGAGGCCTCATCTCCCCAGTTTTTACTACGTCAATATTTACTATAGAAAGTTTGACCCCAGAGAGCTTTCTCATTTTAGTGGAGACACCTCAATGTTCACAGGAATGTCCATTTCTGCCTGGCTTAAATCCAGGGATCTTCCACGTGTGAGGTGAGAACTGCAGCACTGCAGAAGCACCAGGTCACACACACAGGGAGAGGAGAAAACCAAGCCCAGCAACATCCGAGCCAGATGAGAAAAGGGCAGTTTCAGTTACCACGGCTACCTCTGCAAGAATCTGTTTTTCATTGAGATAACCTTGAGAAGAGACACACAGCAGAAGGAAATTACAGAGCTACAGCTCCAAAGGACTCTCTCCTGTCCTGAACTCGGAATTATGGGGGTTTCCATATGGCAGCCTGCAGTATGTCAGTGATCCCTTTAGCTGGCATCAGTACCAGAGAGAGATTAGGAACAACAGCTAATTCATTTAGTTTTTCTCTTTGCAGGTGAAGGGGAAAAATTGTAAAGAAATGCAGGAAGGGAAAAGAAAGCAAAGCCATTCCCTTAAATTGTAAAGGTTCTGGAAGCATGTAGCTCTGGACCCCCTCAAACCACAGAGCTCTGGTGGTGGGTACAGCTGAGCTTCACACTTGCACATTAACTGTTCAAAACAAAGGGATTATACAAAGTGCTTAGCTCTAAACAAACAGTCTGAAGTTCTGCAACAGTTGATCTTTTTAACATTTTAAGTACCGTGTCCCTCAACCAGGACAACTGAGTTGCCTCTAGAGGAGTCAGTCAAGTCCCCTCACCTTCACCCCACCTCAAGAAAGGCTGTTTAAGGCACTCAGCAAAGAGATATTTCAGGGATAACTGAAATACAACTCCCCAGACAATTTTGGTTGCATACCAGGAGTTCATCCATGCTCGTCTGACACTTCTCCAGATTGATCCGTTTAATTGCCACCTTCTCCTTCTTCGGAATGCAGAAGGCCGCCTGCACCACCGCAGTCGCTCCACTCCCTGGGGGTGAAAAAGAGAGTCAGCAACATCTTACAGACTTCAGCAGGAAGGGAGAGAGGCCAGACAACAAAATTACGAATGCCAGAGGGTAAAGACAGTAGAGCCAAGTGAAAATCCAGTGAAGGCTCTCCAGGTCTCCCCAGTCAGGTCTGTGCAGCCCCATGGGTCAGTTCAGCTGCCACAGCCAAGTGCTGGGCAAACCGAAGGAAAACAAGTGGATCTTTATGATCCCTTCCAGGGATCGTTACAGCTGTGCAGACAAAAAAATCCATCCAGATTCCAGCTTCCCTATAACAGAGGAGTGATTCTACTCATGTACTTTTAAAAGCAATGCCACTGAGGTCACACAGACTTTTAACCTGATGTATTCACCCAAAGTGTCAAAACAAGCCACAGTCTTTGCTACCAAAACTAATGAGATTTTTCAAATATTTTTAGGTACTAATTGCTGTTCTCATCTCTCCTCATTTCATGCAAAGACACGAGGTAGGTTTCATTCAAGCAGGTTCAGCTCCAGTTCTCACACCGCCTCGCTGTCTGGGTTGAGAACCACAGCCAGAGAACATTTAAATTCCAACAGGGAAAAAATATTGCATTTTAATGTACAGTTGTTCAAACTGCTACAACCAGGCATAAGAGTTCTGGATTTAAACTGCTCAGCAATATCATACTCTTTCATATCAAAAGGAGATTGCAACAGTGAGACTTAAAATCTAGTTGATGTTAAGTCTATTTTTGCTGGCCTACAAAAATTGTTGCAACATTCACGTCTCATCAATAGGACACCTTGTTACTTTACTTTCTACCTTCATCTTGGTTCCTCACATTTACAGGCTTCACTGGAAAAGAGTAAATCCAAATTAATAAAAAAGGAGGTAGGATAGGTGGAAAATAGTTCAAGAGCTTCCTATTGCCAATACCTAAAAAATGCTAATAAAAATAAACCCACGGATATTTTGTTTATTATCCAAGGCATAACCCATGAGCCCATTTAGGCTGAGGAGAGAGATGAGAACAACTATTCTGCATTTTGCAGTAAGACACTTATTTTACCAGATTCTCTTGTCCTTAACACTATAAAAACTGCTTCCAGATTCTGAAATCCAGACAAAGCACATTTTTGCAAGCTTTGTGATTTTTGTCTAGTACATTCACATAAACTGGAGGCAAAAGTTTTCAATCTCGTCTTCAAAGGCTACTGAAGCTCCCTACAACCACCATCAATGTTCTTCTCACAGCAAGTTGCACCAAGATAAATTCAAATAAAGTTCCGGGGTGGGGGGGGGAAGAGCTTGAAATCCAGCCTTGAAAGATACAGAAAAACTTCTCCATTCAAAGTCACACTGAAATAAATTGAAAAGTCCTGAACTGTGGGACACTGCTCCTCTAATCTTCAACCAGAACCTGCTACAGTGGAGCTACAGGACTTTGACTTCACTTTATATGGCATTGCCAGTGCACCCTGGACAACAGCATCAGCTTGCCAGGGATTCCCTGCATTCAGGAGTTTACATTTTAATCCCAGAAGGCAACAATGTGCAGAACACAAAATGCTAAGGTTGCTAAAGCTGAACTATTTCACAAAGCAAATGGGTTTTTAAGAAGTTCAAGACTGAGGCCATTTATTACTTGCACAAGTTTTTCAGAGCACGGAGCAAAGCAAAGCTTAGGTGGAAGAAAAAGACAGCAATAGTAGCAAAAATATTTACAAGGGACTTTAAAAATGAAATTTGAGTGCTATAAGCAGGATCTTGAGCAAAAGCTGGAGATGATGGGCAGATATTTAACACAAAGCACTCAGAAAGAGCAAAGTGGGGAGGTTCTGACAGCAGAGTTTGGCTACACTGCCAGGAGCAGGGCCGAGATACACAACATTATGCAGGGGACAAACATCCCAAAAGCAAACCTCCACACACACTCCCTGTGGTCACTTTGCCTGGCAAGCAGCAGGTGCAGGAATCCAGCAGCAAAGCATCAGTCCCAGCACAGATGTGTTCCCATTCACTGGGAATCCTGGGTGGCACTGATGTGCTCCTCTCCACCCAGTACCTGCTTTCCTAACTTTTTTCTGCAGCTTCTCTGGTGGGGAAAAAACAGTAAAACCACATAAAGACTCAAGACAAAGAGGGCAGAGCACACAGAAATGCTGGCAAAAGGCAGAAGTGAGTTCGCACTTCCAAGCACTGCTGGTCTCCCTACTGCAATCGCCTTTTGGAAGTCGGAATAAAAAACAAACACGGTATCATTTCTTTGGAAAGTGTCAGATCCCAGAAGAAATGTTGCTGCTGACACATTCAAAGCACCAGTATTGTGATTTCTTTCTTTGGATGTCTTGGTGCATAGTAATAGAGGCTGAAAACACAAGCCAGACGCTGTTAAGAATATACAACTGCGCACCTCAGAGGATTGTCTTGTCACACAACCCTTTGCACTCCTCAGTTAGTTCTTCAGTGTGTATTTTCATCTCACAGCCCTCATTGATATGAGAGTATCTGTGCTCAAAGACTATCTCAGATGCTCAGTAGTGTCAGCACACTCCTGCTTCCCCCCACAACATGACATCCTGGGATTTTTGTGCCAGTTAAACTCAGCTGGTGTAAGCACGACTGGCAGAGGTGCTTCTTACGATCCGGATGCAATACCACTCCTGGAGACCAAATCTTTCACAAGATGAAGTCCAGGGGGTTATAGAAGTGACTACACAAAGAATAGCTTTGTGTTTTATTGTTTTAAGATGTTACTACCAGAAACAATAGATACAGACTAATTAAAAGCAGGACCACTCATGCTACAGATCATTCCCAGTCTCTGAGTCTGTGGGATCAATGCTCACTAGGACTTGAGGGCAAAAACTGCTTTTCACTAAGTGTTTGGACAATGCCCCAGCCTGCAGGGACCCGATCTGTTAGGAGTGTGTGGCATTATTTTAACAGTAATGAAATCCCAAACTAAATCCTTCTGGGCACATGGCAGCGAATCATCCGAACTCGAGACTCCTCCCATTTAATTCCCTGCTGCTCCTACTTTTCTGGCAGCTCTGTTTAGTTCGATCACCACCTGCTCTCCCCACTCCCCCCTCTCCCGCTAATTCGTCATTTCTTTCAGCTCCTCTGTAGCACTAATTACAGAGAAACAATGAAATCTCAAAAGCGTATCAGGCAAGGATTAAGCCAAGCTGCAGCACGATGTGCCACAAGCAAGCTGCTCTTTGGTGGCAGCGGCAGCGTGCCGTGCCCCTGGGACCAAACAAAGGCGGGTTTCCATGCTTCTTGGAAGAGTACAGAAAACATGGCAACACGGGCACTTCAGGCTTTGAAGCCACACAATTTGTTTGTCGAATGCCAGGATGGCAAGAAAAGGAAAGGAAAGAAGCTGCAGCAAGGATGCTGAACACATTGCTAAGTGAAAACAGGCATAGAGAGAGATGATGACACAAAGGGAGAGAAAAAGAAAAGGCTCATCAAGGAAGTTTTCTAAAAGTTTTAAGAGCAGGTAACAAATATCCGGGGAATGGTGGGAAAGAGAGGAGATTTCCTGGGCTGCTATAAAACACCTTCAGCGAGGAAAAAACCCCAAGGGCAATTTGTGCCAGGGGAGCACTGCTTGGTCACACCAACTCTCCCAGCAGGTCAGAGCCAAACGCGGTCCTGAGGGCGTGGGCAGCACTGGGTTAATGTTCCCGTGCTCAGTTCACACTCACTCCCCAACTCAAGACTCTCTGATCAAGGTCAGTGCTGGGGCTCTTCCCTCCGCCTCTCTCAAGATCAGCTTTCGGAGAAAATTTGCTCCCTAGTTAATCTCTTCCAGCATAACGGCTTAGCAAAACAATAAAACCGGGCACAGCCAAATGCTTGCTGCTTTATTCCTGAAAAGCAGGAGATCGTTTTGTTGAAGGCTGGGGGCGGGGGGAGGAAGGAGACCCCAAATGGGTATTAGGATCTGCTTAATACCTCCTGCCTTCGCCCCTGTAGGCTCTCATATATAGTTCCAACCCTTAGGATAGCAGCTGCAAAATTCCTGCATAAGAGGGTCACGACCTACTTTAGAAAACATTGCCTTAGGAGGAAAACATACCCTTTCTAACCCCTGCTTCTTTCATGTTTCTCGATTAAATGGCTCTTTCTGAATTAAAATCAAGCTCTGAAAGGATTAAAACAACCCAAACCAAAAACTCCCCAAGCAGTCAGTTACTGAAGCCTCATTTTTCCAGGTTATCTCCTCTGCTCCCCTGGACCCATACTCCCTGTACCTTTAGCATCCACAGCTCCAGCCTGAACTTCTCCTTAAACTGAGACAAACCCCCCATGAAAGCCCAGCATCAGCCTTCAAGGGAGGCTGGACACCATCTCTTCTGCAGTTGCATAACTTACATGAAGCTTCCATTTTTGAAAATAAAGACAAGCCCAAGGAGATCTCTTGTTAGAGTTAATGGAAACCAATTATTTCAAGGCTAATTGGAGGAGCAGAAAGACAGTGGACTGACCAGAGGACACAGCATGTTCCTACACACTTTGTCTCCAAAGATAACTCAATCTCTGCAGTCACAAAAGGACTTTGCAGCTCTCCCAGTAAGAGTGGGATGAATTGCACTGATGCCTCCTCCCAGGCGAATGCAATTGAAGCCAGAGATCCTCTTGGCAGAGGCATCTGCTTAAGCAATGGGAACAGTCGTGCCAAATGGTCACAAGACACACACCAAATCCTGGCTCTAGAACAGAATTCTCCTACCACGTGCAATGGTGATTTGAAGTAGTTACATGGAAAGAGGACTCACAAAACAGTGTTTCCCAAGCTCGAAATCTACTTCAGGTACCCTGGGAGATGTGAAATTTTCCCTTCATAGTAACTCAGTTGCTCACAAAGCTGTTAAAATCAACAGGGGACATGTTCCATAACAGTCTTGAGCATCAGTCCCTACCCTAATGCCATATCAAATCCCCCCTGTAGAGGAAACATGTTCTCCCAGGGCCCAATGCATGTTACAAACCACTCAGGTTTGAAGGAACCTCCAGTGGCCTCTAGTCCACTCTCCTGATGAAAGCAGGGTCAAATCTCAATTTAGATAAGGTTCCTCAGCATCAAACTCAGTCTAGTCTGGATTTTCTTTAACAAGAGATACTTCTGCAACCTTTTTGGCTGCTTCTGTGTTTGACCACCCACACGGTAGAAAGCTTTTTACCCCCTGGATAGCTGAGGACAGCAACAACTCTTCTAAGGCTGAAGAAATCCAACTCTCCCCACAAGTCATATTCCCAAGTCTCCTTCAGCATTAGACTATGCCTAGCCAAAGACCTCTGCACAACCCTGCCCTCTGCTTTCCACCATTCCCTAGCACACACACGACCTCTCTATTTTTAAGCGAGATCTGGAATCCATCCTCCCCTATCTGGAGTGCGGTGCCAGAAAGCCGCTCGTGACGCAGGCTCTGTTTATAATTGTGCCCCAGGGTTTTCCTCTTATGAACAATGCACACAAAACACTTCCCTGCAAGGCTGCTCTGGACCAAGCAATGTCTGTCAGGTTCCAGGTACCCCAAAGCCCAGGAGACCTTCAATGCTTCACAACACAGACTCTGTGTCCGTGCCTGCAGAGCAGGCATGGGGGTGGAATCCTCCATCTCTGGACGCCTCGACTCTTTGACAGCCTCATGCCAAAGAGCTGTGGGAGCCCTGCTCTGTGGTTACTCATTCCAAGGACAATACAGTAATAAAACTAGAAGCTACAAGACTGGGAATAGAATTTCTTAACTGTTCTTACAGAGCACAGTGCAGATACAGATCTAATTAAACTAGAAATTAAATACCATATTGCA